TTTCAGTAAATATCATTTCCATTATATTTGTGTGTGGGCTGTGATACTGCCAGGGTGCCCAGACCGAAGCAGGTAAAGTACTGAGCCCGACGTGAAGAAAAAAATAGATTATTAAGGTGTAGTGATTAATCTTATCAACTGTTTGTTTAGTGGTGAGAACCATGAAAATTCTAGTACTTGTTACCGAATTTTACCAATGGACCAATAACTCATTGATTCCTGACCGCCCTAATAAGGTTGACACTTGAGTACGTAAATATATACTTGCTGAATAAGTTACGCTATAATATGTTCAAAACAACTCGTAGAACGTCGCTTATGAGATGCTTAGATGTAGTGTATTAAATATATCAACATTAAAATAAATGTTGAGAGCATGACAAGGACGATAAGCTTTATTACTTTTTAAAGCATCACATTCTTTAAATTAACGTGGTACAAGAAATTTACAACTATACTAATCTCGAATTTTAAACTGATTATATTCAAAATGCTACTCTGTGCTTTAAATTTCATTGGAACGTATGAAAATATAACTTACCATATTATCAATGGCACTCATGGCATCTTCAACTTCTTCGAATTCAACAAAAGCGAAACCTCTGTGTTTTTCTAACAGGAAATGAAAACAGAATGACATTTACCAGTTTGATAGTCCATGGGCATATTAATACTAACTATGTCTCCAAAAGGGATAAACGCCGCACGAACAAGAGGTACATCAACTTGCTCTGATAGTCCCCCTATCAAAAATTAACAATAATAGCTAAATAAATGAGAGCCTACCAACATATATAACACGCTTATTGACTGGATTGTATGAACCCGCAGGGAGCTGAAGGGGTGGTAATTCAGCCTAGAATAATGAAAAGTTATTTAAAGAAGTGAGTGAATCCGAGATTTGAAATCAAGAAGTCAAAGTACAACCAATTTTTATTTCAAAAAATCAGCATAATTTACAAGAAAATCACCAAGGAAGCTGCATAGGTTGTGGATTATGCATATAACATATTATAAGTGCGCTGATAGACAACCTGAAAATGCCACCTATTAGTAACGAAAAGGAACATAATTACATGAAGCCACTGATCAGCTGTTTTGTATCTTCCCCAGTTCTTGAGTTGGCATACGTTATGAAAGCACAAACAACGGCCAACCAAGCAGCAAACTTCATCTACTAGCATAGACTTTTCATATTTTCAACTTACTTCAAACAACAGTCCACACATGCTTAAGACTATTCCGAAAAAATTAAGATAGTCTATAGTTTGGTCTAGTGGAGGGGCATCCTGTGATAATGGGACGAATCTTAATGGTTTAATAAATGATCATAAAGACATACCTTCGAAGTTTATTGGGTCTCCTAGGATCTGACGCGGCTAACATATCTGGATTTTAGAATAGAAATACTTTTTACAAAGATATAAAATGTTGCAGTACAAAGAATAAACAGTTTCTGAAATGTAGTTATTTTAACACATAGATAATGGTACAAAGAGGCACCAAATACATATACGCCACACAAATCTCATTCGACATGTGTGAGGGCTGTGATACTACCCGGGTGCCCAAACCGAAGCAGGTGGTTTTCTTAGGGGGCCACTCCCCGAGCCTTTGACTTAAAGGTCTGACCCACAAGGCACTGGAGCATCGTCAGGAGATGCAGTCCAATGGAAGCCGGTGACCAACAATTGGTTCATACTACATTTGTCTCCGCAGGATAATGGAGCCCATGTGCACCATTGATTTGGAATCCGGTTAAAGCGCCGGACATTCGCTTTTCGTTTTCTCATTTTTGTAAACAACACCCCCGTCACGAGAAGACAGTGAGTAGGACTTCCCTGGCAGAGGCTATATACGCGCGGCCATATGAGAGCATTTCGAGAGGGAGAGAGGACTCTTCCCACTCTCGGCCGTACCAGGGCATTTGGGGGCTTTGAAATATAGTACTATATAATAAAAAGACTGTAAATGTATCAAGCAGGTTAAAATGATGTTCTAGATGTATTAAAAGTGGCAAATTAGAAGAAACTTTGTGGAGCCACAAAGGTAGAACGATTTGGAAAATATTAAACTAAACTTCTACGCAATTACCATGATGCGATAGTCATTAAATGTTGTTTTTGAGTTGCCTATATTCTAAAATTGTTTTAAAGCGTTTCTCGTAAACCCTGAACCAAAGTCCTCCGAACGATTTCATAGCTCGTCGTTATATACATTTAAGAATATTCCTATCTTCCTATAGTGCAGAAAAGTTTCATAATCCAACTGGATCTGCATAAAAATGCCAAAAATAAATGAGTTTTACCGTCAAATTGTTCGAAAATGCACTTCGATGTTGTTAATTCAAGGCTGGTTTTAACGGCACTTTCGTCATAGCATATCCAATATCGCTGCGACAAGTTAGTGTAAATCAGCTGATTTCTGTGAAATCACTACTCGGTGTTAAGGTATGGTTTCCAGACCTTTGGTATCCCCTGATGTGTTCTAACCACATGGTTGCACTAACCGAAATGAATTCGATGATAATTTGGAGGTTGATGTATCGAATCATTATGATTCATCATGCCCAACGTAAAACCTGGCATGATTCATTCGCCATATTACAATTCAGCGACAAAACTACTTCAAAAACACTTGAGTAGTAGAAGCAGGAGCAGTAATAATACTAGCAGAAAAGTTAGGTACAGAAAGATAAAAAAAGTAGAATGAGATATTGGGATTCAAGTTTTAAAAGAAGACAAGGATTGAATGCACTACCATTGTGAACGATTGAGTCGTGTTACCCTCGAGTATAAATGAATGTGTTTGTCTTAGAGCAGTGAAGATGCTAGAACCAACAGCCATCACGTTACAAAGAGGCAAACTAGTTTCTTGTAACACGAAGGATTTCAAAACTAAAAAATAAAGGAGTAGAGGTACCAAAGCAAACCAGTCAGCTGAACTAGTGATTAAGGTAAGTATAAAAATATGTGAACGGAGTATAAAAAGGGATGTAAAGAGGTCAAGTGGTATAGGGTGAGTACTAACAACAATAATCAGTAATAATAATTACGGATCAAGTGCAAAATATGGTACATGAACGCTAATGAGTGCGAAACATCCATCCTCATCTTGCCAAACGTTGTTCCACGCGAAAGACGGCTAACCGTTAGTATGTGCATATTTACAAAGTTTTCTCTCGAGATGCTTCACTGATGGCTGTTGTCATACCCTTTGGAAGAAAGTCCCATGTAGCGCCGACCGGTAATGAGAAGCGTGATCTTGTCTGGATGTTCGCTCTTTCATGTGTTATTCGTCTTGGGTTCCTTTAGAAAGTACAAAGGTGTTTCAAGAGGGATATTTCTATTTGTGAGATCCAGAATGCTTCGTACGTTACACTCACCAGGTCGCCTACCAGTATTTAACCTAGACAGCACAACCCCAGGTTGTGAAGTTGGTCCCAACTTTTTGTCACTTAAACTTACACATAACGCCGCTGCATGCCATCGTACTCACTTCAGTCAATTCATTTTCTCCATGATGAAAAAGGGTGCAACAATTCTGCGTGTTTCATGATGTGGGAGGATGTAGGCCATGAATGGAGCCCAAGAGAGCCCACGAGTCGGCACCTTTACCTGCCTTCAAATGAGGTGGAGTAACGAATGATTTGGTTGCATTGCGCTGACAGTTTCTGGCGTTCAGACTTTCTGTTAGCAACAGACTAAGGTCGCTCTCTATTAAGTTTCTAGAGACGATGACTTCAAAGGGAGTAACTAGCCTGTCTTTGAAACGGGCATCGTTTGGCATTTTTGAATGACTAAGAACATAACCATTCCTCGATTAACTAGGCTTCCAGAGGCTAATTATCCGAGTTATATGTGTAGTTTGCAAAACAGCAGTAATACATTACAATTTAGACCGACAGATAACGACAGATGTTGTAAAATGGTTAAAACAAATCCAAAAGTACAAATAATTAACAGCCAAGACCAAACATTGGTGATAATATTCTATGTAACGACAAGTTATAGACCTCACTCGTATATAACTTACTACAGTCCGTGGACTACAATTGGAGATGCACAACTGTAACGTGAACTTTCAATAGTCCCCGCTACCCAAATGGTTCAAATTGTTGAGGATGGAATAGAAGAAGCTTTCGCTTAACGGGCTTCCGTGACTAGTAACAATGGATAATCAACACCTCCAGGCAGGAACCTAAGTATATTAACGATAAAAGAAGAAAAAGAAATTTGTAAATCATAGTAAGATATTATCCTTAGCCCTTAAGAATAGATCAAGATTCCTCTTAAAGGACTACTGGGAATTCACTTGGAATAGCTTAGACTGCGGCGAATTCCAGCATTTTACAGCTATTAGGGAGTAAAATTTGTGTCTACAGTCCGCTGTGTTATGTCGTGTCTCTAGTTTCTGGGTGTTAACCCATAGGTTTGTGTTGGAGCTAAACCTAAGAGGATATCCATGTGTTAAGGATGCTGTAAGCCAAAAGAAGGTCACCGAACTTATTTCGTGGCTCGCCGTTGGACATGTTTCAGAGTGAGGGAGGAAACACTGTTTCCGTACTCTAAATGAAGACGAATGACACTGTTGAAGACTATGTGGAAATGTCTCCCGTCAAACTGGCCAAAAATGCGCTTCAATGTTACCAGTGCAAGGTTTGCTCGAAAAGTATTTTTGTCACAGCGTAAGACTTCAAATTTTAAGGTACTAGCACTTCTAACTCTTTTGCAACTTGGGATACTTCTTGAGAGGAGTTTCCTAAGTTGTAACTGTAGTCTGCAACATGTCTCAGATGGACTACTTTACATTTCAAAGTGTTAAAGGTGAGTCCGTTGTCATCTGCCCAACTTTGAAGTCGAGTCAGATCCTCCTGAAGTGAGGGCATATCTTCTTGATTGCGTACCTCTCCAAAGTTTCGCATGACAAGCAAAATGTAGTGAGTATGTCGATACCTGACGTGGGAGATCGTTTATATAAATCAAGAGATGAAAAGTCTCAGTACTGAACCCTTGTGGACTCCACTAGGACATTCCATAGTCTGACAGAACTTGAAGCTAACCCTGACGATAAAATGTCGATTTTTTAGAGCCAATCAATCAAATGTGACTTGATTCCTAGTCTTTTGAGCCTATTGATAAGACATATATGGTTGACCTTATCAAAAGCTTTTAAGAAGTCATGTCAAACGACGTCAAACTTCTCCTTGTGGTCAAGGATGGTTGTCCATTTGTCCACTGTAGTCAACAGGCTGCTTATACAAGAATGACCCTTTCTGAAACCATGCTGTTGAGGTGAAAAGAAGTTTCAGAATAATAAATTGTCGCTTATGCCTTCGCATATCGGGGACTGCATAATTTTTGAAGGTATAGCGAGAAGAGCCACTGGTTGGTAGCTGGAAGTTTCTCTGAGTTGAGCTCCTTTGAAGATTGTTGTGATGTGAGCCATCTTCCAAATTTCCGGCAATGTGCCTCGGCTTAGCAGATGTGAGGACATCACGCTAAGAGGTGTTACCAGGATTGAAGCTGCTTCCCTCAGTATAGGAGAATGAACCACATCCAAACCACGAGAAGTGTCGTTTTTGTAGATTTTAAGGACCATTTGGAGAACAGACTGCTTTGTAGCACATAAGACCGTGTGCAGTAAGAAATCCCGATGAGCATCCACATCAAGTTGAGGGTGAATTTCCCAATCCACCTATTGCAAATTGTCCTGCAAAGCTGACACGTTCAACAACTTGAAAATCCAGCCCCTGTTCTTGGTGGGATGTCTAAGCTCAGTTTTGCTTATAAAACTAAAGGCTATGACGGCGTGATTTCTTCTCCCCAGGTGTATCAAGATTGAGTTGTTATTCGAGAATTATTCGCTTGTTAATACATAGTCTAAGCGTGGCGACGTCTGATTGTTTCTCCAACGAGTTGCCAGCCCCACATTTTTGAATAACCCCAGATTCTCAATGAGGTCGAAGAACCGAGATTCAGTAGAGTTTCCACGTCCAATAAACGTATGTTCCGCAAAATTGTCTTTAGGAAGACTGAAGTCCCCTAGAATCAGGATATGAGTGAATCCGAGGAGAGTGGAGCGGGATAATCCTCCCAGCATACGATTATCGTACTCGATGTCAGCAGTGAGCTTCCTGTGTACGACTCCAACTGGATAACATCAGAACTTTCTGTGAACTCATAAAATGTGAGTATCTAACAGATTTCCAGTTACTTGTTTCAGCTACTCATATTGCCCTCTCTCTCTTTTTATTTTGTAGGCAAGAGTTTCGCTGAGGACGCCGAAGAATACGAATTTACTCTTCGTTCATACGTACTTCATTCTTTTGTTCTGAATTAGGACCTTAGGTTGAACTTCATAGACCTTAACTCTTTCATAATTCCTTGATCTCGTGTTTAGTCTTCAGTGGTAAGGATAGAAAGTCTGTCGACCTATATTAATCCTTGCAATTCTTAACACTGTCAAGGTCTACTATAGCTTTAAATGTATCGACAGAAGGAGCTGATATTAGTACTCTGGTGGAACATTCTAGTAATTCACTTTTCAGTGATAGAATCGGAACTGTAGATGTAAACTGGTTGGTGTCGTTTAGGTCATAATTTCTATTTTTATCAGGGAGTGACATACTTGAGGTGTTATATAATAGTTTTACAACGTACTAGATAACTAGTTTTGACAAGTGAATAGCCAAACTAGTTCGATTTTCTGCTTGAATTAATTTCGGGTTTTGTTTCTTAACGGGATTAAAGTGGATATTTGGCGTAACGCGTGTAACCAGCGTTTACCGAAGTTTAGGAGTGATTCAGAATAGCATCACACAAGTTGTAATCGGTGAACAGGTAGAATTATGGTTCACTACTGTATTAGTACTGCTCTAATAATAGACCCAATCCTAAAATCGTAGATTTTTCATGGTGTAACTACCTAATATATAAGATCTTACGTTGATGTCACATGATTTTTACCCCTACTCATTCGTATTGTAACAATCATCAGTATATGATGAACACGTCTGGACTTGAGATAAACAATATATTTAATATAGATGAAAGACTGTTGCATAAGTAGGATCACACTTGCAAAGCTGAGCCACGCCATTCGACCAACTCGAACTCAATCGATTCCTTCATCCCGCCTTCTCCATGGTTGGCTTTTTATCCGTGTGAAATGTTGAATATCTATTTTCCCAGTTGTCTCGTGTTCAGCTTTGAGGTTTGTGTGGTTAGGGCGGAATGTCCCTACAAATAATCGAGAGTGAAGGATACGAAATGTCAGCAGAACAGTATAATAAATTATTTAATTCGCGGGTTCTCGCGCACGTGCTGTGTGTTGTTGGGCAATTTTTGTCGTCTTCTCTTCCTTGGACAAAATTCTTACTGTCTTACGCCAATTTTTGCAATGTTTACGCTTTTTATAGGAATTTTGTATCAGTAAGTAATAGTATACATAGTTGTTCAGGATTTGAGTGAAAGCTATGTCAACTTTCATGTGTTTATTTGTATCATTATAAACTCGTGCAAGTGAAATGAATTGTTTGTCAAGTTGGAGATAAAGTGTTTTCAGATTTTCAACGAAAATGGGCTTTTAAAGCCTTTTAAATATGACCTATCACCGTAAAGGATGTTGATGAACAAGGATGTCTGGTAGTTGTTTAGTAAATTCAGGCTAAGGCGATTCTGTGTTAATCTATTTCTAAACATTATACGAGTTCCCACCATACTACCATAAGCAATTACGATCGGAACAACTGAATCATTTTTTAATAGAACTGACGTTTTAATGTGTAACTTATCTGCGAAAGAAAAATTATGTGAGCGATAATTGTCACTAGTAACGTTTTCTGCCAGCTTTACGAACACATACAGAAAATATGTATAATAGCAGTAAGTTTCACAGTAATTAGTCACATATTCCACTTTTGTAAAGTGTTTGAAACCATGACCAAAATATATTCAAGGATTTAATGTATATGGATGAAGAATATTTATATTGTGCATTCCAGCTATTTCATATTGTTCATAAACCGTGAATTAATGTCAGTATTATGAACGTCGTAACTGAATCTTTCTCAAATTTCATTGTCATACTTGAAGTCAGTATATTGGCTTACTTAGTACCTACACTTTTCGCAAGCACTAAATGGCTAGGTGAAATTCTTGGACGCTTGAAAAAAGGCATTATTTGTAGCAATTAAGACACTTGTAACTACATTTTATAAGTTACTATACCATTTACATACTGAATTCGATACGCGAAACGAAGGTTTACCATTTGTTTCATTATTGACTTGTTGTTTTCACAATTGCACTGGAAACAATGCTCTTGTGTTATTACATGAGGTATTTGTGTCGTCTACCTTCCATTGAGTTCTTTTGTTTTAGAATATAATTAACTGTGCGATTATACTTTCTAATTGATTGAATGCACTATTAGAGTTTTTCTTCATTAGAATGTCTGAAAAATGTGACGGAAATAATTCTGAACTGTCACAAATGTTCAATAGTTGCACTCACAAGTGCTTGTTTCTACTTCTAGAAGTCTTCGGCAGTAAACCATGAACATTCTTTCACTGTTTTCATGTTCCACAGACAACCCAAATTCTTCAGAAACAGTTTAACTCTGTTCTGTGCAAAAGAAGTAGGTTGGTCAACAAGTGTAAATACTCGATTCAGCCTGCTTAGGCTATTACCCTATTTATATTCCACTGCTAGTCGTCCACATCAGAAACCAGATCAACAGGACTCGGCAGGTACTCCAAATGTTATTACTTGAATTCAGAACCGTAAAACGCCGATGGTATGTGGTGAATGTGAATTAATTAAGTAACAGGGCGTTTGTGTAAAACATGGATAAATACTGAAACTAAATTTGCTTTTAACTCATACCATAGTCTTAAAGTGTTTCCCGAACTCTGTTCAGATTTCACCCGATAAACCTTTACAAGTTACATTTATTCGTAACTGTTTGGTTTACTTGAATGCAGCTTGTAACGGTGTTGGTTCCTAATCACACGGTTCTCGAGGCCGAATATACGATAACTAAGGAGATTCACATT